GGCAGCAGAGCTCCACAATTAAAACAGGAACACCACAGAGTAAAAGTCCTGCACTCCTGTTTACAAAAGTATTTATCATATTTTCATTCTGTTTGCTGTTGTTTTTATTTTTATTTTATGTGCTTTTGTATTTGTTATCATATTGTTGTTTTTCTGTATAATTAGATATGCTGTTATTTTTTAAAATTGATTACGTTTTATTCAACCGAAAAACAGAACCGACACAAAGTTGATTCTATTTTTTTCATATCGTGGATGTTCACTTGTTTATTTTTATTCTGCCTTGTGTTTGAACTGTGACATCAAACCTTAAAAAAAAAATGCAAATTTCCCCTTGTAAATCACTATAGTCAAATGATGTGACATCCGCAGCACAGCAGGCTCCTTATTACATTTATTTGAATATTTTTGAATATTCTGTAGAGAAGATCATCTCTGTCTCCTCCTGCTGGACACAAACAAACTCAACAACATTCCTAACTTTAGTCTGAATCAGGACTCAGGAAGATGTGAATGAGAACAGATATAATTCAATCAAAATAGTTTGCGCAACAGAACCGAAGCCTGTAGACGTTGGCGGTGTTGAAGTGCAGCAGAGTCAGTAAACAGTCAGTTACACAACAGAGAACCAGTTAAACATGAGGTCATCAGACACAAGGCGAGTCTCAGCCTGTCGGAGGACAAAGACACAAACAGAAAACCTCTGAGCACCAACAACACAAAGTTTTTTCACCAAAGCTCTACTGCTGTTAGTGCTTCAGACGCCGGCACATTTCAAAATAAAGGTTCTTGAGTGAAACAACAGACGACAGCTGCTGCAAACATTTCAGTCTGGCAAATTTTATGTTAAAATGTCTAAAACATGTTTGCATCTCTGGGTTATAGAGTGTACACTGATAGAAGGATGGTAGATTGCACTGTCTAAAGGGAAATTTTATAACAAAGAGGTGAAGGTTTGCATTTTTTCTGAATCAACAGAAATGGAAAAACTTGTTTTAATGACTTTACCTCAACTCACACTGAGTCAAACAGACGCTAAATTCTCATAATACCAACAGTTTATCACTTCATCCTGACAAAACCTTGCACACCTATAAGTGTGTGTTTGTAATTACCTCATTAATACATTTATTTAAAGTAAAATGACCAAATATTTTTCTTGCCAAAATAAATTTCAGTCAATTCTGTTGCTGAAGCGATTTTCTCCTGATTTTTACATTTACATTTAACATTTCTCTATAAAAAGGTAGATTACTTCTTCTGAAAACAGGCTAATGATTAATATCTGAAACTAAAGGAGACATTGCCGTGAATGATATTTTGCTTATGAAGGAACAAGCTTTTCAGGATCCTTTAATGTCCACCTGATGCTCAGCTGGAATAACAAGCAAACCAAAGGTAGAGATTTTGATTAATTACAAAGTAAAAGCGTCATTTATAAACTTCTGATTTCATATATTTGTGATCTACAAACTGAGAGCTGCATTTGTACGATACAGACTTTAGTTTGGGTTAGGAGACTGTTCACATACCTGTACACCAGGGGGCGCTGCAGAGAAGTCAAAATGTAGACGATCACTGTTCCTCATTAAACTCCATGTCACACTGAATTTGTTCTACTTTATATTTCATGATCACATTAATTTAGAGCATCTTAACAGATCCACCCAACAAGCAGTGAAACATTGGAGTTATAACATGTAAGTGAACTCAAATGAAAACAGTAAATCTCACTGTGTTTGAAATTAAAGCTCAAAATAGACGTCATGTCTGTTTCCGTATGACTTTATTAACAAATTAAACATTAAAAACACAATGACAGCATATATTAAAAACCTGAGATTAACTTCATACTTACAGTCAAAATCTGCATAAAAATAACTCAACCTAAGACCCAAAAACACTGAATTCATAAATACATCAAACAAAAACTGACATCACATACTGAGAGATACAACTGAGAGAACACAAACAGCGACTCTCAGACTAAAATGAGAAGACAAGAACCTAAATGATTCACTTTGACAGCGTTCTGACGCTAGCACAGCTAACCTGAATCATTTTTATATCATAAATTAAATCCAGCATAGTTTCTTTGCTTTTTTACAGTTTACCCAAAACTATAAATAATCAATAAAATCCTGTCACACAGACATGAAGGCAGCACCACTCTGACTGAAAACCACTGAGATAAAAACAAGTTCAGGAATCAAAAGGAAAACAGAAATAAACACAAACAACAAAGTAGATGTGGGACATTTGAAGGAAAGTTACGTTAAAAATTAGAAGAAACTAAACTGGATGAGAATAAAAAAACGTGTCAGGCAGCAGCTGGTGGCAGATCTCCATGGTAACGGCGGCGGTGACATCACACCGGTGTGGTGCTGACATCACACAGGTTTGGTGGTGCTGTTGTACACGAGTGTGTCCTGCTCCGATAGCGCCACGTGGGCGGGGCCTGTGGACACGGGCCTATGGGTGCGCTTCCTGCGGGCCTTCAGGAAGCAGTAGGTCAAGATGGCCAACAGAGCCAAGATGGCCACCGACAGAATCACAGCCAGCGCTATGGAGCCTGATGGGGAGACGTTTACTGTCAGCTCGCACACTTTAACATGACTGAGGCCCAACTGTTCTATAATACTGCCATACTACTGCAATACCGATATCAGTTGCACTGCTGACAGTAATACTGCAGTCTGTAGTCCTGCTACCAGGACTGTAAATACACAAATTGTGACATGTTGTGTGAAGCATAAACACTGAACTGCACATTTCATCTATGACTCTTAGAGATAATACTCCTGTCACTATTCAGCAGCGTTTGAGAGGTTCTGACCTGAGTCGCTTTCTTCTTCCTTCTCAAAACGTTCAAACAGCCCTCTGGAAAACACATGGGTCTCTGCAGACACACACAGACAGACACAAACAAGTGTCAAGTGTACACAGTTTCTCAACTAAACTGCTGACCGTCAATAAAGACCATTTGAAACTATATGGAACCAGACTGTATCCAGTGATACTAGATGGCAATAAAGGGTACTAAATGGTATGAAATGGCACTAAACAGAATTAAACAAAGGACACTATGTGGTATTAAAAGGTGCTACACGCTATTAAAAAGGTACTACATGGTATAAATGACCCCACACACCATTAAAGGGTGTCATGGAAACAAATAATCCCACATTGTACTAAATGATAGTATGTGACAATAATGCATCCTACACTATAATAAATGGCGCAACATGGCATTAAAGGTAATAGTATTAAATGGTACTTTGTGGTATTAAAAGGTAATACATGGTATAAAAAGGATACTACATGATAATTAAACATATTACATAGTAATAAAGGGTCATGTGTGGTATTTAAAGGTAATACACAGCATTCAATGGTATACTGTAGTATTAAAGGGTGTTGTATGGAATTAAGTGGTATGAAGTAGTATTTATTAGTGATACGTTAAAGGGTACTGCGTGGTAATAAAGAAAATTACGTGAGAATAACAGGTTATGTGTGGTATTTAAAGGTAAATTAAATAGTACTACGTGGTATTAAAGGGATATAATGTAGAGTTAAAGGGTACTACCTGCATTAAAAGGGTACTACGTGGTATTACAGGGCATAATGTAGTGTTAAAGGGCACTACCTGGTACTAAAGGTTACGATGTGGTAATAAAGGACATTACTTAGTATTACAAGGTATTACATGGCATTAAATGGAACTGTGTTGGACAAAGAAGTGATTTAAAAGAAGATACTGAGTCTGCATGCCTTATTTTCTCAGGTAGGTCGTTCCAAAACCGAGGGGCCCTCACCGAAAAGGCTCGGTCACCTTTGGATTTGAGCCTCGACTTTGGAACAATCAGGAAGGACCCACCTGAGGATCTAAGGCTGCATGTGGGGATATACGGGGTTAACATATCGAAAGTTTGTCTCGTGTCTTGAGTACCGTTCACTCCTTCGCACATCTCGCTGCACTTTTGCTCATCTTCGAAGTTGTTTTTGTTGCCGTCACAGCCGCCGTAGGTGAAGGTGTAGCACTTCTTGTACAGAGGGTTGTAGTACCAGCGGGTGTGACTCGCCCGACACGGACCGGTGCGGGGCGGCTCCGTGCACAGAGCTGAGCAGGTAGGGGGTGACAGCAACTATTAGCATGCAGCCAGTTAGTGCCCAGTGCTCATAGGCGTTTGTATACTGGTGAGTTAAACCTCATGTATTCATGCACAGAGAGGAGAAAAGAGGTCAAGGAATAAACACTGACCTTTCCTTTGGTTCACGTCGATGTCCAGCAGGCGGTTGAACGTCTGATTCACTGAGGAGGAGGATCAGTTATACACAGGGAGTGTGCGTTTGGGTTTGCATGTCTTTCTGTGTGCGTGTGATTGTGTGTGTTACGTTTGCTGCAGTGATCCTCGTCCGATCCGTCGCTGCACTGCTTCACGCCGTCACACTCCAGACGTCTGTCCAGACAGCAGCCGTTGTCACAGACCAGCTGGTCGGGACGGCACGTTGAGCCACACTCCTCTGAACACACACACACACACACACACACACATTTATTTATCTAGAACATCCGGACGATGCTGTGGAGCTGAGGTGAAGAGGTGCATTGTGGGACTGACCTCTAGCAAGCGCAGTGACACTCCTCTCTGTCATCGCTGTGGAGAAACAAACACAAACATGCATCATCAGCGGCATTACAACAGATTAAAGCTGCTGTGTTTACTGTGAGTGTACTACGTGCACTGTGTGTACTGTATATGTACTATGTGTATGTAATGCGTATGTAGTGGGTGTACAGTGTGTGTACTATGTGAGTACTGTGTGTGTGTATTATGTATACTGCGTGTGTTCTATGTGTACTATGTGTACTATGTGTACTATGTGTACTATGTGTACCTGTGACTCCACTGCAGGCAGACAAACACTCCTCTTTGGACAGGTAATTGTTTTTGTTGGGTTTACAGCCTCCAAACACAAACGTCTCACAGCTGCCTTTTGTAGTGTTGTACCTCCAGCGAGGAAACGCAGCTCGACACGGTCCGACCTTCATCGGAGCCCAACAGAACACTGAGACAGAGGACAGGGTCGGTTACATGACTGAAACACAAGACATGGTGTGAAGACATCTCTCTGTATGCTGAACATAAACATTGACCCACAGCAGGGTGTGTGTGTGTTACATTACAGGGAGTGCCGTTGTCTTAGCACACTGGTAACCATGGTGACATGTAGCAAGTACACTATCAGACATTTGGCCGCATGTTGCGCAACAGTTTTACAACCTGGAACCGGAGCAGCACTCAGATCAGCTCTGATTCACGATCATAAACCTCTGGTTCATGTTAGTCGGTCAGAGCTGCGATCGGTAAACAATCAATCGGTCATGTGAAGCGCCTCGGCTGAGATTTGCAGAAAGAAGTCAACAAAAAAGTCGAGGCGTTAAACTAAAAACCTTGCAGAGCAGGTTTAGTTTCTGCTGTTCACGTGTGAATGTGTGTGTCAGGTATTCCAGTCTGACGAGTCTGAGTGCAGGTGTGGATCATCAGTGTGAGAACACAAACAAAGACTCACATCAGCACAACAGATCAGCTGATTCTGACCGTTTATCTGATGAATAATCTGTCAACAAAGCATGAAATGATCCATCAAGTGGTGATGAAGCAGTTAAGTGATCAATAAACTGTATTAAGCAGTCAACTGACAACTGTTAAAAGAAACACTGAATAAACTGTTAATCAAGTTCAATAGTGTTAATAGATCGATCAATAGATCGAGTGTCAATAACTCAGCTATCTGATGTAAATTCTTAATAGAGCAGTTAACTGATCAATAAACTGTTAATTAAGCAGTTAATCAATAAAGTGTAAAAGAAGCAGTTCATTTATCAACAAATGTAGTTAAGTGACTAACAGATCAATCAAGGCTTAATAAAGCAGTTCATTTATCAATACAGTTCATTAGCAGTTAACTGATGAATAGACTGTTAGTAAAGCAGCTAATAGATCAATACACTGTTTATGAAACAGCATACTGATCCATGAAGTGTGATAAAGCAGTTACGATTATATCAATAAACTGATGATGAACTTGATCACTGATTAATAATTCAGTTAGATGATGAACAGACTGATAGTAAAACAGTAAACTGTCAATAAAGTAGTTAATTGATCGATAAAGTGGTAATGAATGAGCTAAATCATTATTAACGTGTTAATAAGATTAAAGGATCAATAACTTATCAATTAAGCAGACTTAAACTGATCAATGAAGTCAGATTCTGGCACAAAAACAACAAATAAATTCTTATATTTCTTATCAACTAAAAATTCAGTAAATTCTTTATAGACTCTGGCAGACTGTCCACATACTTTTGGTCAAGCAGCTGCTGATCTGATTTGTAGTCAGAAAGGAAAAAAACACTACATGTTCCTCAGAGGACTACATTTCCATGACCACTCACAGTTGGACATCTCCGGGCTGAGGACCACGACCTTAACCTTGGCGTCATCCGATTGGCCGTCGGAGTCGGTGACGGTCAGCTGGAACTCGTAAAGACCCGGCTGCAGGTTGGAGAGCTTCACCTGGTCAGGTAGATCCGTCTTCTGCAGAATCCCATTCAAAAATAACAACGTTTAAGAGTTAAATCTAACCTACTCTCAGTAACTCGTTCTGATGCCTACCAGGGGGAGAGACACGTTGTAATTAAAATCTGAGCTTTGGAAAGGATCACATAGAGGCCGAATTTACCTGCACCTACACCTGTACAGACACGATGTGCAAAGTTTTTTCTTTCAGTCTTTTTGAAAAGCAAGGCAAACTTGTGAATATTGTGAATGGAGTTTGGTGGGCTGAATGCAACATTACTAAATGTAACAGAATAAGACAAGTCCATTGAACTTGTTGGCGTCACAACACACGTTTATCTCCTGCTGACGTCCTATTGGTCACCTCTACCTGTGTTAAGCCCCGCCCCCTGTGAAGCAGCGGCTTTTACCTCCATCTTTACGTCACTGTTTCCGCTCTGCAGACTCCAGCTGTACTTGGTGATTTTGGCGTCGTTCATCGCCTGACTCTCAATGCCGTTGAGGATCACCGTCACGCTGGGCTGAACAATGACATCACGGCCTGCGATGGCGATGGGCGAAGACGGCTCATCTACAGACACACAGTTGTCGAGTTAGTCATTAAGACATAATGTTTTTATACACAACTAACAGACTCGGAAGTCCAACGAGCTTGAATGTTCTGGATTGAATGAATGAATGAAGTCACATGAGCCCAACCCTGTTAATCTTCACATTCAGTCGAACTGTCTCACTAAAAGCAGCAGAGTTCTCCGTGAGGCACTCCTGTTTGCAGCGTATCATGGACGTACAGACAAATATCACTGGATTACTATGACACTGAGGAAGGCACTATGACACTGTCTTCTTTAAAAATTCTATTTCATACCAGTTAAAGGTTTAGAGATTATTTTATATTAGACATCAACAGATTTGTTTTTCTGCTCATTCTCGCCGGCTTTTAATCACTTTAATTACCTTTGTGTGTGAAATGTTTGACACAATGTACGTGAAATGATTCAGGTGTAATATTAATAATTCTGTTTTTAATAATTTCCTTAAAATCGGCAGAATATTTCCACCAGAGTCCCATAAGGACAGCGGAGAATGTTGCTTATTTCTATGTTTGAATGTTGTTGTTTTTTTAAGTAAACCTATATTTTAGTTTCCAGAAATCCAGGATAGAAGTAGAGGATTAAAACCAAGTAATGTCAAAAGTTTCTTAAATCAGAAATTCTCCAGTAGAGGTTCTGTGTTGAGTTTCACCAGCTTATGAAACTTTCAAACGCAGATCATTTTCATACTTTAATCATCCTGCAGTATTGATCCTATAATGTTTTATGTTGATTTCACATGTTGAGTGATGTTGACTTTAGAATTAGGTGGACCCACTTGGTCCCTGCTGTTACTCAGGACAATTAATCCTGTAATATTGATTAATGATTGCTGACTGATCCAAAAACCCCTTAAGACTGTGGGGGACTCTCCTGGCCTCTGTGGCCCCTCTGTGTTATCGATGTCATGACGTTCAGCTTATTGACTGATCATCTGGTCCCTGCACTGCAAAACCTCTAACAGTTTAAATGTTTGTTTGTTTGTTTGTAACTGTATTTTTTAAAACAGTTTACTGGTATTTTACAGATTTTCCTTGTTTTGTTAAATTACAGATAACTACTAGGAAAATCACAGTAATTTACATATGAAATGGAAAACAATGCACTTCATTTTTACTGTATTTAAATCATTAAAAAAAATATTGATACTTCACAGATTGTTGCTGCTATTTGAAAGAAAATGACTGACACATTAAGTTGAAAAATGACAACGTTTTTGTTAAATTACAGATGATATCTAGTAAAATCACAGCAAATAAGTGTTCATTTACATGCTGACGTTTAAAAATTAAAAATTGTGCTTTTACAAATAAATTTTCTGAGTGACTGTAACATAAATCCTTGTATCTAAATGAGCTAGAACGTTATTTTACAGATTATTGCTGGTATTGTTACTGTAAATGTAGAGTTTTTGTACCTTACAGTATTCTACCTTTTTGTCTCGTGCCATTGCTCCCAGATTTTAAACCGCTGATGTATCAGGTGTTTCTTACAATGTGCATAATTTGTTGATCTCATGATAATGATTGATTAAGTGATATGCTATTGATGCAGTGATACCATAACAATCATGTGTGGACTCACTTGGCCCCTCAGTGTTAATCTCATTATATTGATTCTATTGGCTGACATTGATCCAGTAACACTTTGATGACCAGGTGATGACTCATCTGGCCCCTGATGTGGCTCATTGATCGCATGGTATTCACTGATTGAGTCATAGGCTGTATTGATCCAGTAAGACTCTGGACTCACCTTGCCCCTGTGGCCCCGCCAGGTGTTTCTGGAACACGGTCTCCCGGATGTAGCTCTGGTATCCCTCCTGATTCACGAACCTGCACACGAAGCGGTTCCTGTGGATGCAGCTGAACAGGACGCATGTGAGGTTCGCCTTCGAGCCGCGCGGTTCAAGCAACGCGAGGTTGCAGCGCAGGTCACCGCAGCACGCGCTCCGACACTCCTCCGCCGTCTGCACATGCGCGGTGGCCAACGGAGCCGCTCCCTCCTTCACCGCGTCCTCGGTGTCCAGAACAAAGTCGCCCTGACCGGAGCGGAAAGAGGCGCTGCAGTCCGTCGCCGCTCCGCCGGGCCGCAGGTGGAGGAGGAGGACAAGAAGGAGGGGAAGGCAGGGCAGCAGGAGAGGCCGCAGGGGGGAGGAAGAGGAGGATGAAGGCATTTTCAGGTGAGAAGAAACACTTTACCGCGTCTGGCCGCTGCGCTGTCACTTCAGTCCGAGTTTAGAAGGAGAAAAACGGAGAGTTTAAGCTGTGGACTGTGCTCCACTCCGTCCAGCTGCTCAGGTGTGTCTCACCTGCTGACTGACAGGAAGAGACAGCAGCACCCCTCCCACAGGGACGATGACGCGCCTCTGACGTCGCCCAGGTGTGTCCTCACCTCGGCTCAGCTGATCAGTCTATCAACACAGGAAACTGATTTTGGTTGCGGTTCAGATTTGTTTTATTGTCATTGTAATGAGTACAACGAAAAGTAAGGTGCAGGCCTTTCAGTGCAAAAAGCAAAAATATAAAAACTTTGTAAGACACTATATACAATATAAAAGAAATATATGTATACACATTTTTAAAAAAAGAACTCTATATAAAAAGATGAAATTAAATAATGAGTGTGGTGCATACTGGACAGCGGTAGTGGAGTTGTGTATTTACAGTATATTGCACTTATTGCGACAGGGAGGCATTTATGGCTCCGACAGCAGTTGGAAAAAAGCTGTTTTTCAGTCTGTTGGTCCAGGTTCTGATGGCCCTGTACCGTCTGCCCGACAGCAGTAGCTGGAACAGGAAATGTCCCGGGTGGTAGGAGTCCTTCAGGATGGTGCTGGCTCTCCTGAGGCAGAAAGAGCCATGACGGTCCTCTAGTGTGGGCAGAGGGCACCCAGTGACCTTCTCAGTCATTTTGGTGATCCTCTGGAGTGCTTTCCTGTTTGCCACTGTGCAGCTGGCAGACCACGAGGCAGAAGGTGAGGATGCTCTCCATGGTGGAGCGGTAAAAAGACACAAGCAGTCTCTGGCTGATGTTGTTTGTCCTGAGGATTCTCAGGAAGTGGAGTCTTCTTTGTGCCTTCGTTAACAACTGTGTGATGTTCTTATTCCAGTTCAGTTTCTCTTCAATGTGAAGTCCCAGGAAGCAGAAGTCACTGACCCTTTCCACACAGGTCACACCGATGAGAATGAGCTGAAAGGAAGAACTCCAGTCTTCTGGAAAAGTAACTAAATTATTAGTTCATTAGTAATTATTAGCCGTGATTCGTTTTAATAAACGTAATTGTATTCACAATTGAACAAAAACTTTTTCTTTGCTTTGTTTGGTTTTTCTAGACTGTTGTTTATTTAGTCATACATTTTAAACTTAATGTATGTGAGCTATCTTACAATGTTATTTTCAGTTATCTAAGCAACTCTTTATGCTGTATTGCTTAAATCCTACAAAAAGGATGCCTAAAAAAAAATACATTAAAACGGTAGAATATTGCAACTTTCAAAAACTACAAAAACAGTGAAAATAACAGGAACATTTGAAATATAATGGTATTTTATACCTCATTTAAATACAGCAAAAATGTTTAATTTGTGGTCATACACTGTAAGAGAACAAAATAACATTTGTGAAATACTGGTCTTTGATACACATATTATTTAGAGCTTTACCCTGTTTTTTTTTTTCTGTGATTTTATCTGTAATTTAACAAAACCAGGAAAATCTGTAAAATAAGAGTTAAAAAATATTCACCATTTTTCAATCCATAATACCATTGTTTTTTTAAAGTAAGGGCAAATGTTTGTAAAATAACAATAGCTTTTGCTAATACACTAAACACACTAAAACACTAAAAATAGGGCAACGTTGTAAAAGAGCAAATGACCATTTGTAACACGGTACAGTTAACACATAAATTAATTCTTTTTCCTGTGATTTTGCTAAATATTATTTGTGATTTAACAAAGTAGAAAATATTTGTAATGCAATACACATAAATCTTTTCAAAGCCTTTTTTTTAAAAAAAACATTCTAAACATCATGGAAAAGATTTAATTTCAAATGAAATATAAATCTAACATTAATCGCATATTCCTTCTTTTTTTTTTTTACATTACTCTTTATTCTGTCATTGCAAACCCTCACCATTTTTTTTAGTATTAAACCTGTTAATATTAAAATAAAACACACAGTAATTATTTATTATGTATTTTAGGAGAGAAACAAGAAAACAATAAGCCATAATGATGTATGTGTTCACTGTGTCAATATTTAAACACTTGACACATCTTTCTTATCAGTGTCTACAAAAATTATAATCATTAAATTATTATATCAGTCTAAATCAGGGAATGGGATAGAATCATTTATAAATGGTAATATTACAGCAGTGTTTAATCTGCAGTACCGGCACTGAGCAGTTCACACTCCTACCAGCAGGGGCGCTGTAACCGCAGCAGCTCAGAGCCCAAGTGACGCTTAAACCGTTTGCGTCAAATCGTCCAATCAGAGGCAGAGTTTAAAAGCGGCTCCAACAGCGGCTCGGTTTGAATGTTTATTTGACCGGTCATTATTTGTGAATTTTCAGGTAAGAAAACAAAAACTTATTTGATTAAATCACATTTTCATGAAGTGAAAACTTTTTTTTTCAACTCTATCCTTTTGTTGTTGTTGTTAAATAATGGTAAAGAGTTCCACTGACGACGTCAGAGACATTAGCTGACAGCTTCGCCAAACTCTGTTCACAATCTGTGGTGTTTTGGGGTTAACTTGGCTGTCAGCGAGGGCGTGTACAAATTACAAAAATGCTTGAGACCTTACATGAAACATCATAATCCAATCTTTATTCCGGCTCAAGAAAAATAATACAAACTGGTGTTAAACTCTGACTAATCCTCCAATAATTCTCATCTTGTTGTTAAGAGCTTTAAGTTTGTGAACGGTGAGTCACAGAGTTTCGACTGTAAATACATAAATGTCACATGTCTGATTTTTCAGGTCACTCACCTGTGTGACAAAGAAAAGCACCAAACCCTCTGAGCTGAGAGGCTACAAATATATTTCACTTATTTTAGACAAAAAAAAAACAAAAACGGCCCAGACGGTCATCCAGTTATCAGAAAGGCTGTGAATTTATTTTCTTTTGATAGACTAATTAATTTAGGTGTAAATCACATCAGTCTTTCATTGCTCATGCTCCTGTTTTACTATAGTTTATTGAAGAAGAAAAAAACACAGCAGAAATGAAAAGCTTCGCTGAAATCAGACATTGTTTAAAAGTTTACATTTGACACAGAATTAATCACCACAGCCTTTTAATACTATAGGATAAAAATGATCATCATTTGATTGAGTCATGAATTCAGAAACTGTGAGTCAATTTGTCAGTTGCCACAGAAGTAATCTGTAATTATTCAAAGATTATATTTCTTCCATTTAGCTTCTTCTGAGTGACAAAAACAGTTTTAACTGTTTGTTTTGGCCTGAAGAAATATTAAACTTTGTGCACGTCACACAGGAAACAATCTGCAGATATTGAGTCCAGAGTGATTTATCACAAAGAAAAGTAAGAAATCTTTTTTTAAAAATTAGGATAAAAAAAATAAATTAGAGATAATAAATTATTTCAAAATTTCGTATCTAATTTTTCTGATGTGGCTTTGTTCTGTTGAGAAAACCAAAAGATTCAAATCTGAGTTTACAATGTTTGTCTGTAATGTTGTCGTACTCTGTGTTACCGTGCTGTGCCTGTGCTAATCTGATTCAGAGAGTTTGACGCAGTGATTATTGATTACTGCAGTGGTGATTGACTGGTTCTGTGCCTTACATCCAGGTGCAGTAATGGCGGAGGGGCTGATGCTGCAGGCTGCCTACAGACTGTAAGTGTTCAGTGTTATATCAGTAAATGAAGAGCTCAGGTGATCGATAATCACAGCAGAAAATGGTGTTCCGACATGACATGAAACAGCTGTTGAGTAGGAAAATAGCTGCAACAAAATCAAAAGATTTTTGAAATAAAGACAATGAATTAAAAGTATAAATGTTTATTTAAGGTAGAACTAACTGCGACTCTCTGTCCTATTGGCTGCAGGTCCGCCTGTCAGAGTGAGGCACACCTGAGTGAAGGGGCGGGGCCTCAGGAGGAGGACAGGGCTAATCAGTGGAATGCATACTGTACAGCAGATCTGCTGATGAGAGAAGGAGAGGAGCTGAGCTTTGAGGAGCTGCGAGCTGAAAGATACAACCAGCAAAAACAGCGGGAGATGGAGGGTGCGTTCACTGACTGCAGGACATTTACAAACCACAGAGCATCTGCTAATTGTAGGGCTTTCACTGAGCAGCTCACTGACCACGTGGCATTTATTGAGGCTTACACTGATTGTGGCACATTCCATGACTGCAGGATACTTATTGAGGTGCTCACTATCTGCAGAACATCTACAGATAGCTGTTCACTGACTGCACAACATTTATTTAGACATTCACTGACTGCAGGACCGTTACTGACCACAACACATTTGTTAAGAGTTTCACCGACCAGAGGATGTTAACTGAGCTGTTGACAGTCAGCAGGACATCTACGGTTTGCCGGGCATTCACTGAGGAGTACACTGAACACATGACATTTTTTGAGGTGTTCATTGACTGCAGCACATTTACTGAGAGGTTCTCTGACTGCAGAACATTTACTGAGGTGTTCACTGACCGCAGAAGAGTTACTCGGGCTTTCACTGACTATTCACTTTACTGAGGCGTTCACTGACTGTAGGACGTTTGCCAACCACATTATGGTTGCTGAGGAGTACGCTGACCAAAGGGTATTTGCAGGTTTACTGACTGAAGGATGTTTACTGAAATGTTCGCTGACCATCAAAGGTTTACTGCCTTCAGAACGGAAGACTTCCTGGTATCACTTCATGGTCAGAATTGTGTCAGTTGGCTGATGGATGAGTGTTTATTTCCTTTAGAGAAGCTGAGACGTCTGACAGAGGAGGAGGAGCAGTTGAGTCGAGAGCTGGAGGAGAAGAAGAGACTGTTGGAGCTCAGGAGGAGTCAACCAGAGGTACGCTGCTGGTGACAACAATGCTACCACTGATACTATAATTACCAATACTGATGTGTAACAGTCCTGCTGCTGAGGAATGCTGCGACTGAGAATAATTCTATTTAATCTATGTTGTGAGAAGTATTCATACTGATCGATGTGAAAGAAAATATTGTTACCTGGACTGTAAACAAGTGACGTGGATGACTTGTGTTGTCGTGCTTTATGTCTGTCTCCCTGCAGCTGCCTCGTAGAGCCTCTTCTCAGAGCAGTGACTCCGTCGAACCTCCGGCTGCTGCTTCCTTCCACATATACGACGAGTCCCAGCCTGATGCTGCTGGTGCACGGCCTGCTGGGTAATAAACACACCGCAATGACCAATGTCTCAGTGTCTCGTCGACTGTAACGGAACTCATCATCTGACTCTCATCCAGCAGAAACTCTGAACCGTCTTCAGACGAGCTGCCAGATGATGTTTTCCTGCATCCTGATGAGAGAGGACTCTGTCTGAAGATTCAGCATCCTCAACGGCCTGGTGAGCCTCTGGTCCATGAGCCAGTTCTGTTCTGAAACCAGGATGAGAACTTGCAAATCAGGCCACATGTCCACCTATTCATTCTATCAACTTTTTATTTTTTTACCAAATAATGTAGATCCAGCAACCCCAACAAGATGGTGGACCTTGTATTGTTTACCTGCAGCTTTTAGCATCTTATTGCAAATATTTACCTGAGTTCAACAGAACTAAATGAGCCAGTTTTGGTTGTTGCACAGACATAGATAAGGACTGCAGGATGTCTGTAGAATGGTTTGATTTGTGCACTTTTCACGCTGTTTTTCCCTTTAAATGTTTACTTTGAGGATTTTTTTTTATTTAGGATCTTTGTTGGACATTTTTATTGTATTTTTTATAAGAGACATTTGGTACATTTTCTGAAGCTATTTACGAAATGTTTTATGATTATTTTTCTAACGTTTGATGCTCTCCTGCTGCTTAGGTCACACTCAGGTTGGAGCTGCAGATTGTCTCATTAGCTAGTGTTCATTAATGATTCATTAAATAGCAGTTTTTCACCCAACAGCGGATCTCTGATAGGAAACTTCGACTTGTACTTATTTAAAACTTTAGTTAAAAATTTGATAAGAGAATCAAAAGATTTCAGACTCAGTAAAAAGGTTATAAACCACCAGCCCTGTCAAACATAAACAGATATGTGATGCATCCAGTTTGAATTAAGATGTCAGAACTACAGACTCGTGTCGCTTCAGCTGCTGACAGTCTCATGTTCACTCTGAACCTCTATGTTTTCAGTGAAGTTCTGTTGAAACGTCAGCTCTCGACTTCATTGGTCTGATTTCAGTATTTTTGAAAAGTTGATTTTCTTGTTGTTCCTCAGATATGAAGCAGATTCATTGAAATGTTTTATGAGTTTCAGTTTGTTGACGGAGAGTCGAATGTCTGTCACTGATCTTGTGTTGATGTTGTGAACTTGTGACTGCTGTCAGGTCACCAGGGAGGAACCAGCGAAGACCTCCAGACTTCTTTGGACACAAGTCCCCCGACATTCTCCCAGATACCAATCTCTAAAACCAGAAAGAAGCTGAGTACCATACAGGAGACCAGTATAATTGCCTCACAAGGAGGACTCGCAGCTGGAACTTGTAGTCCACTGAAGGAGGATCCAGAGGAGCAGAAACAGGACCAGGAGGAGATGGCTCACACTGCATCACCAGGTAAGTAGTCTTAAAGTAAAAAAAAAAAAAAAAAGTCAAACCAATAAACTGTTTTGTTTATTGGTTAAAAACTGTGTCGGAGTTTCACTTCATTTCCTGACTGATTTTTATAATGTGATCAAAACAACTTGAGTGAAAAAATAAAGTTGTTTTACAGAATATGTAGCGATTGATTCACCAATGATTTAAAAAACCAAAAAACATTTCTCAGCTGCAGATTTGTTCTTTCTGTTCCAGCTGGAGCCGCTGTCAATCCCTGCGACCCGGACATTCGACGGCGGCTGTTGGACCTGAGTGATGTCACTTCCTCTCCAAACCTGCACTCAGAGTCCCGCCCCCTCCCTGCTGTCGAGGAGAGCAACTTTGTGCAACTGGGTACCACATCTGGATTGTTTATCCTTACATTTAGAACTGCAGCTGATGATTGTTTTAAGTATTTGTTAAAATGCCAGCAAGTTCATTAAAGTGGTGACAAATGTTCCATGAATGAAAATGAGGAGAATATTTTTGTAGTTAAATCTTGAATACGAAATGTTTGGGTGCAAATGAGGAAAAACAAATCGCAGATAAAGAATTACATATAACAAAGCAGATCAAATCGAGAATAACAGAGCTGTTGCTGGTACATGTACTTTCCCAGACTCTGTTGAAAATATCCTTTAATTTAACGCTATGCATCATCTAATTAGAAGACATAGGAAAGTTTACAGGGAACAAGCTGGAAACTGCACAACCTGTAAAAGAGCTGAAAATGAAAACTTCATAGCAATAAATATTCCTGTGCTGTTTTTAAAGTGTAATGACCCTTTCATGCTGTTGCACTGTGTCCACTAGGGGGCGAGGTGTATCACATCCACTCCAGAGTTGTAGACGGAGGCAGTTTCTCTGTCTTTAAAACAGTCACAGAGGACAACTGTGTCCTCCTCAAGGTGAGACTGCACATTTACACACAGCTGACTCAACAGTGGGAACACAAACCTGACAACAGAGACCAGACTGAACCCTGCAGGAAAGTAACCGTCTGTGATAACCGGTGTGTTTACCTGTTGCAGGTGGACAGCTGCACTGCTCCCTGGGATTTTCATCAGTTTACTCGCTTGAAGAAGAGCTCACCAGCTGCTGACACTCTTCCTCTCATCAGCTGTTTCCTGTTTCCAGACGGCTGCATCACCGTCTACACGACCCCACCAGATCACATGTTCACTGTGAGTCACTTTCTCCCTCGGGCCCGTCTGCACACTGCACTCCTTCACTTCCACATTCAATCTGCAGCCAACCAGTACTACATCGTCATTATGTGCCGAGTGTAACTTTGTGTGTTTGTGTGTCAGGAGCTGGCAGAGTGTGACCCCAGTGAGCAGTCAATCGGTTACACAGCAATCAGCCTGCTGCAGCTGGTGTTGCAGCTGCACTCCTGCGGGCTGCTGCATGCGGCGCTGCAGCCGAACATCCTCGCGTCCTGTCACAAGTATGTCCTCACGCCACACAGGGAGGGAAGGGAGGCAGGGTTTACTCTGATTCTGAGGCCTTTATGGTTTCACTTATTTTCTGCAGAGGCATCCTGATGTCTAGCAGTGTTCTTCCAGTGGACTGGTCATCCTCTGTGGACCTGGACCTCCAGCAGGATGTTACATCAGTCCAGCAGCTCTCCTCAGCTCAGACCTACATCGATCTGGGTCTCCTGGAACCGACCTCCTCCCCACAGCTGGTACACACCCATCCACTCACTACAGATCCCGTCTCATTCACAGAGGTCGGTAGACGCTCACTCTGTCTCTTGTCTTTTAGGTGGACCTGGTGGGCGTGGCCGAAACTGTCCACCTCCTGCTGACCAACAGGAAGATGGTCCCTGTGAAAGACCCAAGTGGCTGGACGACTGAGCAGTTCAGTGGAGATGAACCCTGGTGTGTATACCTCATGCTGAGTCACATGGTTAATTTTACTTGTCTGACCTGGTGGTAGAGCGGTTGTCCTTTGATCGTAAGGTTGGCGGTTTGATCCCCCGCCCCTCCACAGTTGAAGTGTCCTTGGGCAAGACACTGACCCTGAAGTTGCTCCCAATGGCAGGCAGCACCTTGCATGGCAGATCTGTCACCATTGGTGTATGAATGTGTGTGTGAATGGGTGAATGAGAAAACATTGTAAAGCGCTTTGAGTGCGGCTAAGAGAGCGCGATATAAGTGCAGACCATTTATCTCATCTTTTTAACCTGGTTTATTTGATCTGTTGAACCTGGTTTCTCACTTGTTAGACCTGAGGCCCGTACTATGGAGCAGTTTTTGAAGTTAGCTTACTTGAGGTTAAGCTCTGGGTTTTCTACTGGGTTTGCTTCTTATTGGGGTGATGAACTCCTCACCTGCTCCGGAGCTGATCATGTTCCAGATAACAGATCAGCATGTACTAAAGCACCTCCCACTGACCGATCAATTTTTCTCAAAAATGGCATCACTACTCCTCGAAGACACACAGAGATCAGTGTGGAGACAGCACTGTGAGAGGGTCTCTGGGGAGGGCATGAGATTTTAGAGCTGCAATTTCAAAGCCACGTTCTATATTCTTCTATATATTGATATAATCCTACAACAAAGACTGATAAAGCACCGAAGACTTGTACTTCTTGACTTAACAAGATTTGCAGTATGCTAACTTGTCGGCTTGAATGATGTCTTTATATTTTTTCTTTTCTTGCTCCCGAGCAAGAATATTATAGTTTCCTTTCTATATATTTGTTATTTAAATAATTTCTTGTTTTCTGTGAGCAGCATACTGGATTACTCCTGCAGTTTCATTCTACATTTGTGTTGCGTAATGATAATTGAATACAATGTTGAATAAGAAACCTTCACCTATGCAGTTTATACATATTCGTGCCTTGTGTGAGACAGTAATAATGATAAGCCTATTAAGTCACAGTAACATAATCTGTACTTCTTCACTCTTAATCATGGTTTTGGCAGCAGCAGAGTATCTGGACAACTGTGTTGCTTTGAGCCTGTGTTGTATTTTATGAACTCCTCGTATTAGTTTAGGATTGTAATTTGTTCTTCTTGTGAGAAATGTGTCACATGTTCATGGTCGCACACCACCGCTTAATGTGAACACACTTATAACCGGATTTGATCGGTAAGTAATAATAATGCACGGTTAAGAGTTTTCTACCAGCACTCTCTTCCTGCATCGTTGGCCGTAGCAGTGCTCTTTATCCTCTTAAATTTTTACATTTCTCATTGTTTTTACATTTACAACAGCCTGTTAACTGAAGTAAGTGGCACACCATTGATCCATTCATTTGCATAAGAAGAGTCACATGGCACCTTAAACGCCCCGTTTTATGTGAACGCACAGTGTCTGAAGAAGAAAATTGACTGTCACCTTCATGATAAATGTAGCTCTGATTGGGCTTTTAGGTTTTGTCGAGTCGGCTTATTCAAAGAAAGCCCGGCTTAGTCAAACTTGCTTTGTGGTACAGCTCTCTGGCCTCTGGTTTATCTCATCTGTTAAACCTGGTTTGTTTCATCTGACTGAACTTCATGCTGAACTTAGCTTGGTGTTTGAATAACACATCTCGGTGTCTCTACAGCGACATCTACACCATGATGTGGAGGAGGTTTTTCCGGTCGTTGCTGAACGCCGGCGGTCACTCATCGCTGTCCGTCCTGTCAGAGCTGAAGGAGCAGCTGTCCTCACTTTACCGCTGACACGTCGGGTGCTCACTCTGTCCTCTTGTCTGTTTTTATATCTGTGTTCTCGAATCTAACGACAATAAATAAAGTTTAAAAACTGTTTAATATGACTTTTCTGTGTCCGCTTCATGTTTCTGGTCCCTGAGTGAAGAATTATGAGACAGAGGACATGAAGGGACGGTCAGAATTCACCATAGCTGGATTTCTGCTTGGTTTAATAGAAAAAGATCACATAAAAATCCTGAAGAGGAGACTAAAAATAGAAATGTCCGTATTCACCACAGAGGAGGGAGTTATGAACAGCAGAGGGCGCTCTGACAGCAGCATGAATTTCACAGGTAAAAACTCCTTTATCTCTCATGGTGAACTTGTTGTTTCATGTGTAAAAGCTGTTTGAAAAAAAAAAAAAAAAAGGTCCAGCAAAATGGAATAACAAAGAAAAAACACCCCGTGTGATTCAAAGATAATTTTTGCAGTGCCACAGGAGTGTACAGAAAACTGGAAGTATGTGCAAAAGTCAAGATGTGCAAAGACTGCGTGGGTTTTACCTGTGATGTGCTGGACTCACATGATCGCTCTCTCTAGCCGCATATGGTCCACTTCCGTACAGTTGCTGTATCATACTGAGATGCTACTAGTGAGAATGGACTCAATGGTGCACCAGAAGAACCTCTGCTGTGCTTTCCCAGTCAGCGGGGAGATGTGGAGGGTCCAGGTGAAGTCCTCACTGGTGTGAACACCGAGGGAGTTGAAGGTGCTGACTCGTTCCACCTGTTACACAATGAGATGGTTGGAGTCGGTGGCGTCTCTCCTTCCTCAGGTCCACTTTCCTTCACTTTTGTCTTGTTTTAACATGACAGCAGCAGGTTTTTCTACCTCCCTGCCTTGTTGTTGTCTTTGTTGACGCCCAGGACCGTACTGACATCTGCAAATTTGAGAATCTGAATATTCTCATTTGTGGAAGCTCAGTCGTGTGGTTAGTTGGTGCAGCGTGGGACTAACTACACAACCATGAGTGGTACCAGGGTTTGTTACAAGTGTTCTGATGTCTTCAATCCTGACAGACTGCACATGAGAAACTGATGAGAGTTTGAGGTTCAGTCAGAGCCTTAGGAGAGTTTTCCTTTGTGAAGAACTGCTCCACAAACAGCATTCTGATACAGGCGTCCTTAGCCAGGTGGTGAAAGGCTGTGTAGAGACAGAGGGTCCAGTGTGAACAGAGCTGTGATCCTCTCAAAGCTCTTCATAATAACAGTGTGCGATGTGTAATTGTTCAAGCAGGTTACTGAGTTTTTCTTGGGGTTTGGAATGATGGTGGTTGTTTTAAAGCAGGATGGAGCTGTGGTTTGTGTAAGAGACAAGTTGAAAATGATAATGGAGACGTCAAAAAACCCACAGGGCCCGTCCCAAGATGTTGTCTGGGCAAGTGTCCTTGTGGGGGCAGATTTTCCCTCAAGGCTTTGCACACGTCGGCTGATGACACAGCGAGCGGCGGGTTAGTTGGTCTATTTGCATACTTTAGAGGGATCCGTTTCTTTTGTGGTTGCTCAGAGGAAGCATCAAACGTATTCACTTCATCTTGTTTGTTGTGTCTCTGTTGGGGTCCTGCTGCGTTTGTCGTCTGTAGAGTAGAAACCCTCCAGCTTCTGTCTGCTCTGCCTCTTAGCCCGGTTGATGCTTTTATTGAGATTGTATTCTGTGATCCTCTCTTCCTCATCATTGCCTGATTTAAAGGCAAAGCATGCAGCATGTGTCGCACCTGATCATTTATTCAGGGCTTTTGATTTGGACGTGTACGGATCTGTGCAGTGGGAACTACATCTTTAATGGAGGTGCTTAATTAGCCAGTTGCACATGCAACATTCTGCTGCATGTTCAATCCAGAGATGAACTGCAGCTCTGAAAGTGTCCCAGTCAGTGCTGGAACAACGATCTTGTACCATGAGCTCACTTTAGGGGTCCGTACCTTCACTGTCCTGTTTATGGGTGCACTTTGTTTCAGGTGTAGGAAGGGTAAAGAACTAATATATATTTTTAAATGAATAAAATAAGAAATCAAACTGTTAAAAGGCATTAAAAACAAACAGAACAACGAATAGAAGGAATTTCTTTTGGGATTACAAGTTCTGTTTAATCTCATACAACACAGTGGAGATACCAACTACAGCGCTGACAGTAGACAGGAAAGTTTGACTATTTTTGCATCATGTGACTGAGATGAAGTGAGTCACTAATATTATTTTTGCACGATCAACCTGGTTTAGGTCACGAATTAAACTTGAACTGAATGCAAACACCCCAAACCTGCTTTATTCGACTCACAGTGCTCTGGTTAGTTTAGATGTCTAATCCTGCAAGTTAAATTTAGAGTAAAATGAATGGAGTCTGGCTGTTGAGTCACGTCCTCCTCTGCCTGAGGGGACAGCGAGGCATGCTGCAGCCTGCAGAGAGAGAGAGAGAGAGAGAAAGAGAGAGAGAAGGCTTCTCCTATCTTAGTCTTTGTTTCTTCACCACAGCTTTAAGGGAGTTTGATGTTCCTGGTCTTTTGGCCCAGTTATTAATCTTTTTGATCATTTATATCCACTTTACTTTAGCTAGAAAAGAGGTTGTTTCATGCTAAGATGTTGTCAGAACCTTCAGCACACTGAAACTTGTTGAACAGCTTTAATGTGACCTGCTGCTGCAGTTTATGTATCAACAGAGGTGTGGCTCCTCCGTTCATCACACCAAAGTCTTTGAAAATTTCCAGGAATTCTTCAGTTTCATCTCTGATGTGCAGCAGCGTTGACTGATTTCTGCTGTCACTGACTCTGCTGCTGCGTTGACCTACAGATGTGCCAATAAAGCTCCTTTGAATTTGAAAATGTTCAGTCAGACTAAACCCCGCCTCCCTCCACCTGAATCCAGGTGAGACAGAGACGAGTGAGGTGGGGGAGGGAGAGAGACAGTGGGAGGAGAAAGAAGAGCAGCAGAGAGAGTCTGAGGAGGAGAACGACGCCGGAACCGATTCACCTGGACTCACCTGGACTCTGCCGCCAGGTGAGTGTGTTTGCTTCTCTGTAAACTAACAGGTTCTCACCAGGACCAGGCTGAGTCCAGATCACAGCAACTGTCAAATACCAGAACTGTGACTATAAACAAACCTCTGAAGGTTCTCTGTGGAACAACGTTCTCACTGTTCCACGTGGACCTTTATTGTGGCATGAAGAGTGATTTCGAGAGTCTGAGCAGTCTGGTTATCAAAAATAAACAAATGGTCTGTTCTCAAGGTTCTTTACAGAACCAGGTTGTAACGGTTCCACATGGACGTTTACTGTGCTATGAAGAACATTTTGCAGAGTCTTTGCAGTCATGTTTTAAAAAGATAAATCAATGATGTGCGTCTTTAAAGACCACTGTAATCACAGTTCCGTCTACTTGAGAACAGCCTTGAAGAACTCGACTGCTGCTTTGTTCTTCAGAGGACCTGTCTGCTGTTCTCTCTGTAACTTAATATGAAGACATTTTCACCAATGATTTGCGCAACATCTGACACGCGTGTTAGTTTGGTTGCAAATATATGCAGACGTATGCAGCACCGTTCAGCGCTCATGGATCAAACTCCACCTGAAGAACTGTGATGGGGTTCCTTCAAGAACTGTTTCCGTTCGGAGTGTTTGAAAGCAGCAAGTCCGCCTCACACCTGACTGTGTGTTTGTGTGCTGCAGTAAGCTGATCTTCATGAAAGGAAGTTTGGTGTGAAATTGTAACTGATCTGAGAACAGCAGCATGTTCCCTCTTTGTGTCTTCACATTGTTGTTTATTTGCTCTCTGATGTTGTTTTTGTTGCCGTTGAGCAACTCGGCTTCAGTTTGGTCGGAACTTGATCATCAGACATGAGTCAGTATTAAGAGACTGCGTGAGTCAGTTGTCTTGAGATCCGCTGTGTCTGCACACAGACTGCTGCTCGGGTTCGTTGATTATTTCATGTCGTATGTGGACACTTCCAGTTGAGGCTCAGTAGTTTTCCTCTGCACACTGATCGTCTGCTGCTGTACAACTCAGATGTTTGAACTTCGAACTAAACCAATGACGACACTTCAAAAGTGCCTCCAAAAATCTTCCCTCCTCTTCCTGTGTATACATCATCGCACTTTACAAATACTTTTTCACTGTCTTGTTTTAATTTTAAAGTAATGGAATTCACATTTTTGGAATTCTAAATGCATATTTTGTTTTTCAGTTTGATTTCATTTAATTGTTTTTCTTGCTTCGTGAGTAAATGACAACCTGATTTCCAATTGGCATAACGTTCAAGACACATTGCTGCAATATTTTAAGCAAGTTAGTTTCAAACGGTTTCAAACTAACAACAAAAGGAAAAGGGTCCACAAATTGTGGGCACCCTGCATGCTCAGTACCTAGCAACTGGTTAGCTAAGCACTGAGCAACCACTATGCATTTTTTAATGACCAGTACTGATTATTTCCAGAGCCAGGCAGCACATAGTTGATATATAATGCAGGTATCAGTTATTTTTTTTCATCTAACAAAATGCAGCAATTTCATAAAAATAACAAATCAGACACAAAATTGTTGAACTTACACAAACATTTTACAGTATGTGTGCATTGTTGCTATTTGCTCAAAGAGGCCATATTTACTTGTGGGTTCCTCCCGTTCCTTCAGCGTGTTTTATAGCTGCTGTTTAGAACATGTAAAAAGTCTGCAAACTTAAGTCTTAATTATACCTTCTTGCAGACGTGCACAACATGGCTGATGACACCACAGACATGTAAATGTTGTTATATTACTTTTTAGTCCGCTTGAGGA